CACAGCAAATTTTAGCTCTATGCTGAAAATGTTGCTATTTTTACACTATGCTTGCCACTAGAATATGAATATGGGATAATTCTAGGACATGGTACTTGTGCTCCCTAGGGTTGTAGCTCAATATAACCCTTTAGTGGGCAGTTACGGCCCTGTTACTGGAGTTCATGATACAGTCCAGTTATAGAACGGCATTTTTAATAAAGTGCTAGTCCACCAGACATTGATAACCACAGGTTTTGGTAGATGTTGTCTGGTGCAGTTACTGATTAAAGTTGGGTATACACTAGTAGATTTTCAAAAGAACGTTCGTAAGAAAAATTTTGTCGCAACATTCAATAATGCCATCAGAGACTTGATGAATGTCGCTCGAAATGTCGTCTGATTTTTTTTTTTTATCGTTTTGATTTATTTTTAGAATGAATGGAGTTTCCCCAAATGAAAACCACGTTCACTCGTACAGGTGTGCTCAAATGTTTGCATACCCTTGTAAAATTGGTAATATATGTACCATTTTTAAAGAGTGAGCAGGCAAAACACAATGGCCCGCATTTGTGGGAGTATTTTGTAGTATAGTGTCCCATAGAAAATGTTTGGTTCTGAAAGGAAAGTAAAGGTTCTCTAAAAATCTGTTGGAATGTACTCATTTATTCTGAGCACCAGTGGCGGAACAAAGGCCCTGTTAATTCCCCCCATAGTTACACACTATTATACATTTATATAGCTCTGGCATATACCGCAGTGCTGTACACTGAGCCAGTCACATCAGTTCCTGTACAGAGGAGCTAACACTCTAATGCAGAATGCCATCATCTATAGAAAACTACAAATCGCAACAATACATTATAAAGCCATGCAGAATAATAGTATATGAATTTGGTACATACTCTGTTCTGCCTCTCTGCCCTGGAATGCCAGCCAGTCTTGTGCAGAGGGTCTCAGGAGCGGGAGATGTGCGGGCAGCGAAAGCGCTATAAGCAGGTGGTTCCACAGAAGGCTGCTGCGCACGACCTAATGCAGCTGAATGAATTAAAAAAAAATTATTTTCAAGCTGCAGAGGTCAGTTGTAAGGCAGAGTACAGAGTTCAGGCTGTGATGTGACGCAGAGGTCAGGCTGTGATGTGACGCAGAGGTCAGGCTGTGATGTGACGCAGAGGTCAGGGCGTGACGCAGAATGCAGAGGTCAGGGCGTGACGCAGAATGCAGAGGTCAGGGCGTGATGCAGAATGCAGAGGTCAGGGCATGATGCAGAATGCAGAGGTCAGGGTGTGACGCAGAGGTCAGGGCGTGACGCAGAAAGAATAAAAACTTACAGGTGCTGTGCCCTCTTTCTCTCCAGGTGGTGGTGGGGGGGGAGGGGTGCAGCCATATTTCCTGCCTCCAGCCGCCTCCTTGTGCCTTCTCCCCAGGACCCTCTCCTGCAGTCTGCAGCTGGCCAGGGATGATCCTGCAGTCCTCCTCCTATAGCAGCCGACAGACCAATCACTGAAGGCGGCACACAGTAGTGACAGCAGTACAGATTCTTCTCCCCTCGGCCGCTCTGTGCTTCAGTTATCGAAAGCGGCAGCCATTTTCAACAGGCACCCACTCAGTTCCTCTTTTAGTGTTCCTCCCAACAGAGTGGAAGAAGTTGGTGACCGGATCTCAGTGGGCCCCGGGGTGGCCGCACGGGCTGCACCGCCGGCAGGTCTGCCCCTGCTGAGCACTGTATGTGTGTGTGTCATGTAGTATTATTATTATTATTATACAGGATTTATATAGCGCCAACAGTTTACACAGCATTTTACAATATAAGGAGGACATTACAATCACAATACAATTCAAGACAAGATGGTATGAAGGGCCCTGCCCATGAGGGCTTACAATCTAAAAGGGAGGGGCCAGTGATACATGAGGCGGTAGCTGTGTGGGGATGAATTGTTTGAAAATGTATATTTGTGTATCCCTTGTCACGTTCTGTGGTTCCTTCCACCTTCAGCTACATCAACGCAGGGCGCAACCGTGATGTAGCGGCCAACAGGGTGAACCACAGTGAGTGGTCAGTGTCACGCTATCCCACACACCCATAAGTGTCATGTAGCAGCGGCGGTTGTAGCTGTTAAGGAAAGAAAGGTTTTACTTGCCAGATAGGTAAGTATGGATGTTCTTTGTTTGCAGTCTGCTCATTGTAAGTTTTTTTTTTTACCAAGGTGACAGGTTCACTTTGGATGATATGTATAAAAACAATTAACAAAGGAAAAAGAGTGAATGCATACTCCTGTTTCCTGTCTGATCAGTCTGTCCTATGCTGGCCTCGAGCATTAGGTATAACAATCCTCAATGTTGATGAAATCCTGTTTTATAGAAATCCATTGCACTAAACACCCAATGTGAGCACTATGCAATTATCTTTATCAAAAAGGGAAACGATAGATCTTGACAAAAATTATAACTGAATTTGAGTTCATCAACATTTTCTTTGTTTTCTCAAACTAAACTAAAACTATTGAGTTTACGATCAATTGATTGTTGACATTACTTGTATGGCCAGCAATATGGAATAGGTTTTTGTGCTGCTCCATAGCAACAGATTTAGGGACAGTGTTGAAGGGCTTTTGTTCACTTTAAGCGAAGCATCTCAGACTGATGCCATCAACACAAGCCCAAATCATCAACTGCTTGCCCTGAAAAATAAGGTGAACATTTGAATGTGGATTCCTAATGGCAGCCTGCTCACATTTGTGAAAAAGAGAGACCCTATTTCATTGAGAGAACAAACATCTAAAGAAGAGGCAGCATACTTGCCCTTCCTGCCCCCACACCACTCAACCCAGTTCCATTTCAGAGAACTGGTCCTCTAAAGTTCATTGGGAAACAAACCTTTTTTTGAATG